TATATATATATATATATATGTATACATCTATATATATATAAATATACACTTTCTCTAAATGTCCAAAACCCAGTCCAGATAAAAAGTAAGCAGATAAAATAATCTTCCTTATTTTATTAAAATGGCCTAAATAGGATGAAAGAAAACCAAAATTAGATCAATAATGAAACTATGCCATTGTTTTAGTTTATGGATGGGCAAAGATACAATATATGATGTTGTAGAATTTGTAATGAACCTTAAAGCTCCGTGATTAACTGCATCAAGTGCATATAAAGGATGCTAAACGGACATATAATTAATGTTTCTGTAACCAAAAATGGCATAAAGTAGCAGGTACATGTTTTATTTTTTTGTCATCCTCAAATGAAAGACAAAACTCTAAAAATGAAACTAAGTTCTAGCTTCAAGTTTTTTGTAATCAGCTGCTGGAAACGAGAGTAGGAGAGAGGATTACCAGTCAGAATACCTAAATATTTTTATCCAGATACAAATTCACACTCTGAACTTTGAAATAAGAGACAGATGGAAGATTTGTACATTTTGAGTTGGGGAAAAGCAAAGGTTTTGTTTTTTGTTTCAAAATTAGTTTGAAATTGTGCAACATCCACTGAATAATATTAAATGATTGATGGCGTTCATAAAGCACATCACAGCATTATCTGCATGGTAAGAAAGGACTTCCAGATGACTGAGCTACTACAGCAGCAGTAATTAGAAAGACTGGTAGAAAGGTACTTAGTGTGTCATCTGGACAGAGAATGGATGCTAAGGAAACCTGCTGGTGAATAAGTGAAGTGCAGGAAACTATTCAAAGAAAGAGATTAGCCAAGAACAAATATTACAGTGAGAGGACTGAATAGAGGAGACAGGAATATAAGGAGATGGGATGTAGAGGAAAGAGGGAGGTAGGAATGGCAAATCAGAAGGTGTGTAATGAGTTGTATGGGAGGCTGGACACTAAAGAGTGTGAAAAGGACTTGTACTGATTGGCAAGACAGAAGGATCAGGCTGGAAAGGATGTGCGGCAGGTTAGGCTTGAGAAAGATAAGAATGGTAATGTTCGAACAAGTGAGGAAAGTGAGAGCGTGATGGAATGATGGAAGGAGTTGTTTGAGGAGATAATGAATGAAGAGAATGAAAGAGAAAGAAGAGTAGATGTTATAGAAACTGTGGACCAGGAAGTGAGGGTGAAGTCCGGAAAGCTCTGAAAAGAATGAAGAAAGGGAAGGCAGTAGGACCTGATGACATACCAGTGGAGGTTTGGAAATTTCTAGGAGAGATGGCAGTGAGGTTTTTGACTCAAATATTCAATGGCATATACGAGGGTGAAAAAATGACTTGGACATGGAGGTGTGCTGGTAACCATTTTTAAGAACAAGGGTGATGTACAGAGTTGTAGCAAATACATGGAAATTAAGATGATGAGCCACACGATGAAGAACTGGGAGAGAGTTGTGGAAGCAAGACTTGAGAGGTGACTATCTGTGAGCAGCAGTATGGTTTCATGCCGAGAAAGAGCACCACATATGCCATCTTTGCTTTGAGGATGCTGATGGAGAAGTACAGAGACGGTCAGAAAGAACTCCATTGTGTCTTTGTGGATTTAGAAAAAGTATATGACAGGGTGCCAAGGGAGGAGATGTGGTATTGCATGAGTAAATCTGGAGTGACAGAGAAGTATATTAGACTGGTACAGGACATGTATCAAGTCAGTTCAATTCAAAAATACTTTTTTTAATCCCAAAGGGAAATTATTTGTTGTTGTAACTCATTATCCTCGTTTCATTAAGAGATGTTATAGATGCTGATGGCTGTAAGCAGGAAGAATCTCTTGTAAAGGTCCATCCCACAGTGGATCCCAAGAAACTGGCTGCAGATGCCGTCCGATCTGTCCACCCAGACTCGGCTGGCCTCTCGGTTCAAGAAAGGGTTCTTTGGTCGGTTTCCCCAGGCTGTAGCTGTATGAGGACAGCAGGACAGTGGTGAGATGTGCTGCAAGAATGACAGATAGCTTCAAGGTGGAAGTGGGAGTACATCAAGGATTGGCTCTGAGCCCCTTCTTGTTTGCTCTGGTGATGGGCCGACTAACAGTTGATGTCAGGCAGGAATCCCCGCGGACGATGGTTTGCAGATGACATTGTAATCTGTGGTGAGAAGAGTGAACAAGTAGAAGAGAGCGTGGAGAGGTGGAGGTACGCACTTGAAAGAAGAGGAATGAAAATTGGCCAATAAGACAGAGTACATGTGTGTGAATGAGAGAGAGGCCAGTGGAACAGTGAGTATACAAGGAGCAGAGGTCACAAAGGTGCAGGACTTCAAGTACTTGGGGTCTACTGTCCAGGAAAATGGGTAGTGTAGTAAAGAGGTGAAGAAGAGACTCCAGGCAGAATGGAGTGGATGGAGAAAAGTTTCAGGATGAACAACTGGGAGATAAAGTTAGAGAGGCCAGACTGAGATGGTTTGGACATGTCCAGAGGAGGGACAGTGGGTATACTGGTAGAAGGATGTTAGAAATGCAGCTGCCAGGAAAAAGACAGAGGAGATATATGGATGCAGTTAGAGAGGACATGGAGGTAGTTGGAGTGAAGACAGAGGATGCAGAGGACAGAGTGAGATGGAGGAGGATGACTCGAAGTGGCAATTCTTTGAAGAGGGAAAAGCCGGATGTTTCCATATTTTAATGTATCGTGTATTTTAGAATATTTTTAACTGAATGTTTTTAATTGATTTAGCAAAGCTTGGTTTTAAAGTTTTTAAAGTTTTTTTTTTAATCACATTTTTATTGTTTTTATAAGCCGTATGTCAAAGACAAATCTCCATTTCATTGAATGTTATGGACAATAAAGTTGAAATGAATTGATTGAATTGAAGAAGACAGTATCATCTGCATGGAAATGGAGAATATAATTTTACACTTTTTAATATAGATTGTTGATGAAAATAGTAGATGAGTGGTGTCTGAACTAATTTTTGGAGAACACCTTTAACTGTGCTGATGCAACAGAGTACATCACAGTATCATCTGCATAAAATGGGATGTTAGCATTTTTAACCTTTTGACCATGATTGCTGATCAAAATAAAATGAGAATGGGCTCAAAGCAAATCCCCAAAGCACAACGTTGGTATTACAGATCCAACAGAGCACATCTCTGGATCAACAACATGAAAGGACTTTTCAGTATAAAATAATAAAGGATACAAGGGAGTTAAGAACCATTTCCTGATTAATACCTTTGGCTAAAAAAGGGAAGCAAGAAGAAATGGTTTCCTTTGACACACTAAGCATATTGTAAATTAGTCTGATCCTGTTTTGGTAGTCGGTTTTAAACTAACCTGAACTTTTACTTTTGATGCGGCATCTCCCACAGGTCCGGCAGCTTCAAGAGGACGCCGTCCGCCTACAGTCTGCATATGCAGGAGACAAAGCTGATGACATTCAGAAGAGAGAAGGAGAGGTGAGCTTTACATGCCATGTGTTTCATTACAACTATCGTCTATGGTTAGACCTTTTCAGTTTCTTTCCCCATGAAAGCATGATAAAGACTCAGAAACACAATGAATGCAAATGATCAAGCTGTAAAATGGCTCTTTTTCTCACGTATGATGTACGGCTGCTGCACTAACCATTTGAATAAGATGCTTTTAAGAGAATTTAAAAAATGCTAGAGCCACGCCTTACTTTATTAACTTTTCTACCACATTCTAAAATCATACAGGGCATGGTCGAAATACTGGAAGCAACAAGTTTCCTTAATTATTATTCTATATGAACATTTGCCATATCTGTTTTTTTTTTTTTCTTTTCAAACTTGGAAAATAAAATGTCATTGTTTATTTTTCTACCAGTTACAAAAAAAATGACAATTTATTTGTTGATTTGGCAAACTGTAATCTGTTTGCTTCTCTGTAAAGATTGTGCAGCCAATCAAAATCAGGAACAGGAAAAAAACAACTTTACTGGTTAAATCTGCCAAGATTCACCTATTGTAACTTTCACAAAGCAAACATCTGTTTTCTGTATCTTTTGGTTCTAAATTTTTTAAAGTTACATAATTTTCAACAGCCAGGCATGTTGAGAAGCTCTGACCTGTTGATGAGTGTTGTTGATGTGTTTTGACCATTCCCTGTATGTCCCGTTTCCCCCACATATCCTCCCTGTCCATCCAGAAGAGAAAGGGAGAGGTGAGGCAGTTTCTCACAAATACTGGCTTTGCATCAGGCTTCATTTTGGCTGAATTGCTGTTACGACTAAAATGAACTTAAGTGGCATTTTAGTCCTTCCAGTGCAGCTCAGGCACAACTGGCTCAAGTTTTATTTTACCCAAACTGGATTGCTTTGTGGGCAGGAAATATTGCACATAAGATACTCCAGCTGGCAAGGTATCTGAGCTGGGTAAGATAAATGTTCCTAGAAGCTGAAACGTTGCAGATACATTTTTTTAATGAATAGCTTATTGCACAGGTTGGTGTTTGTTAATTAGGAAAGTGTTGCTGCTTGCAGTCGATTCTTCATCAAACTATAAACAGTTTCAGTGTTAAATGGCTCTGTGGCTGAAAATGATAGGTCGGTCATTGTGATGAACTTTTCAGACAAAGTAATGTCTTGCCTTGCTGAACAGCATCGTTTGTGCACAAAACATTAGTTTTTTTTTAAAGTCAAAATAATAAATGTTCTTAGATTGTTAATGAATAAAATTAAAGACTTTCACTAGAATCAAAACTCAATTTTAACAAACTAAATCGATGAACTAAAGATATGATGAAGGGTGCTAGATCAGCTACTGTCAAAAAAAGTCCAACTTTTGTAAAAATCTATTCAGACTAAATGCAGATGATTTGATGTATAAGTATTGGGATGCGGAAAAACAATCCACAATCGAATGAAAATGTTAAAGCTGTTACCACCTTCATGGTCACCATGGTAACCAGAAGACCTATAGCAGAGAAATATTGGATGAAAGACGACAAAAATTAAGATAAAAAAAAAATACATTTGAATTTATAAACTGCTTTTCAGTAGTCTGGTTCGTTTGTTAGAAAGATGCTATTCAACAAAAATATAACTGCAACACTTTTGTTTTTGCTCCAATTTTACATGAGCTGAAATAAGAAATCTTGTAAGTCTTTTTCTACGTACACAACAGGTCCTTTTCTCTCAAATATTGTTTTCATATTTGTGTAAATCTGTTAGTGAGCACTTCTCCTGTGCCGAGATAATCCATCCACCTCACAGGTGTGACGTATCAAGATGCTGATTAGACAACATGATGATGGCATAGGCTGACCACAATAAAAGGCCACTCCAAAATGTGCATTTTTTATCACACAGCACAATGACACATATGTTACAAGTTTTGAGGGAGTGTGCAATTAGCATGCTGACTGCAGGATTATTCACCAGAGCTGTTGCCCATGGATTAAATGTTAATATCTTTACCATAAGTCGTCTTGAAAGGCGTTTCAAGAATTGGGCAGTACATCCAACCAGCAGACCAACCACACCAGCCCAGGACCTCCACATCCAGCATCTTCACCTCCAAGATCACCCAAGAGCAGCCACCTGGACAGCTGCTGCAACAATCAGTTGCATACCTAAAGGATTTCTGCACAAACTGTCAGGAACCATCTCAGGGAAGCTCATCTTCATGCGCGTCCTCCTTATCTGAGTCTCCACCTGATTGCAGTTCGTCGTTTTAACCGACTTGAGTCACAGTCGATGGCGTATGGCATGTTGGAGAGGTTTTCTCTTCATGGATGAATCCTGGTTTTCACTAGACAAGGCAGTATGGCGTTGTGTGGGTGAGCGGTTTGCTGATGATAACATTATGAATCGAGCGGCCCACGGTGGCAGTGGGTTATGGAATGGGTAGGTGTATGTTATTGATGGCATTTTGAATGCACAGAGATATTGTGACGAGATCCTGAGGCCCATTGTTGTCACATCCACAACCATCACCTCATGTTGCAGCAGGATAATGCACAACCCCATGTTGCAAGGATCCCTACACAATTCCTGGGAGCTGAAAACCTCCCAGTTCTTTCATGGCCAGCATACTGACCATACAGGTCACCCATTGAGCATGTCTAGGATGCTCTGAATGCAACGGCATGTGCCCACTGACCCTCCTCATAAAGTACAAGTAGAAAGTAGGGTATTTGTTCAAAAACAAAAGTGTTGCTGAAGACTGAGTAAGTCCTTTGGATAAAAAAACGAAACGCTTGAAGAGAGAAGAATCCATCCTGAGGACCTGACTCAACCTTGTTTGATTCATCTACCTTGATTGTTGAGCATACATCAAGACAAAAGTGTTGCGTTTTTATTTTTGTTCAGTATATATAGCACCTTTCTAATCAACCAGGCTACTCAAAAGCAGTTTACAACAAAAATCTGACACACACATTCAAACAGCGCATCCCTACAAAGCTCATTTGGACAAATCATCCTATAGAGACTAATCAGTGCTTTACAACAGAAGAAGGCTAAAGAGTGTAGAAGGAAGAAGAGTTTTCAAGAAGTCTGGAAGGTTTAGATGGCTCAAATGTTGATGTGTGACTAAGTTGAACATTCTGTGGTGAAATCTCAAACCATCAAATTTAAAGTTTGCACCTGTAAAAATCATTAAAGATATTGAAAATACTACTCGAGACATGTAAAGTCCAACTTTTTGCGACTCGTTTAAACTTTGATTGATGAATTCTACTGTGAAATATGTAAAAAACTGCAGCGCTCCAAAGAGGGCGGGGTTTTCTCACCATGATCCCATTGTTGTCTATGTAGGAAATTATTCCCACTTTCCTGAGCGAAGTTTGTCAACACTGTACAATGTTTTACTGTCACAGCACACTGCAAACTGCTTTCATGTATTGTACAAGTTTTTACAAAACTGTGGATAAAGTCAAAAATTGCAATGAAAACAGAAAAATAATGAGCGAAAAGTAAAAAGGGTGTGTTACTCTTTCTTAATTAAGGCACCCTTATTTTTGTTTCTGCTTCTGAATTAATCTACAGGTATTGAACCTGAATGCATCAACCCCCATATGGCCTTTTTTAAATTCTAGAGTTGCAGGAAGAATTCCTCCAATAAATACTAAAAAAATCTAGTTTTACGGTGCTGTTTAAGCAAATGGTCTGCAATGAAAACTGAAGAAATTGCATTTCCTGCAAAAATGCAGGGTGAATGCTTATTGCAGAAGAACTTGCTGAAAAATATTCTGAAATAAGCTAAAAAAAACATGGTGAAATGTAGCTAAAATGGAAGAACAAGCCTAATTTAGCAGAGGAAAGAAGAAAGAACACATATTTGCTGAAATAGTTTTAAATGAACAGAAGTGAGCACAAAAATATGGATATTAGCTAAAAAAAAAAACTAAAATGAGCAAAAAATGTAGCTAAAAAGTAGCTGAAATGGCAAAAAGAAGCTTAGACTGCCAGAAGGAAGTGTAAACAGCTGAAATTTGCTAAAAATGTGGAATTACCTGAAAAAGCTAAAAAAAATAGTATAAAAGAGCTAAATAGTAGCTGAAAGAGCAAAAAAAAAAACTGAAACTAGCAGAAAAAAAGCTGAAAGGAGTATAATAAGCTTAAAATTAACAAAGAAGTTAATTTGTATGAAAGAAGCAGAAATGAACACAACAGTGGAAATTATCTGAAAAAAGCTGAAATAAGAAAAAAAATCAGCTGAAAAGTGGCTAAAAAGGCATAAAGCAGCTTAAATTACCAGAAGGAAGTGGAGAGAGCACATTTTTGCTGAATTAGGCTGTAAAAATAGTAGCTGAAATGAGCATAACAAGCTGAAACCTGCAGAAGTTAGAAGAAGCACAAAAAATGTTGTAGTTAGCAGAAAGAATGGGAAAGGAGCACAAAACAGCTGAAATTAGCTGAAAGTAGCTGAACAATGTTTAAATTTGCAGAAAGAAACTGAAAGGAGCTGAAGCAGAACAAAATGTGAAAGGAGCAGTAAACGGTTGTAAACAGATCTAAAGATTTGAAGAATGTAAAAGGAGCTCAATTCATTTTCTATGAGAGAAAATGTGGCAGAAAGGGCTAAATACTTCAAAAAGCTAAAGTTTCACCAAAACCAAAAGTCATATCACCCTTATCCTGGAAGAGCTGAACATTTTGATTTATGACTTGTTGAAATGGAACAAAAACTGTGGAAGGAGAAAGATGCCGAATATCGTACAGAAGAAAAGTGGATCTCTATCCATGTAAAACTGCAGTTGGTAGCTTTCATTAAAATACACCGTAGGTAGCATCATGCATGAGCATGCATCAGGAAACAGTAGGTAGGTTTCTCTGTTAAAAAGGTTCATATATCCAGATGCTGATGAACATCTTCAGATTTAAAGACTTGAGCAAAATTCAGCGAACATACGAATGTTTGATGACCAAGATGAAACAATATCAAAGACATTTCTTTTATTTTTAGGAATGTGCCAGATGTTTGCAGCAGTTTAGATGAAATGAAAACAAAACAACAAAAAAATAGAAGTGGATTCATTGAACTGGTTTGGTTTTCTTCATCTGATGCTCTTAAAGCTTCTGCAGTCTGCACGAATGAATGTTTTTAATTTGCTTCGGTCCGTTTGCTTTCTCTCCCCTGAGCTGTGTAATAGTTGCTGCACTGCGCTGCACAGGGTCAGTGTGTTTAATGAATAAATTATTTCTTTATATGTAAACAGCTTTCTGCTCCTCAGACATCAACAACAGGAACTGTACAGATTATGTCTGCCGTTTTGTTTCGCCCCCTCCTCCTGCAGGTCTTGGAGGCCTGGAAGAATCTGCTGGAGGCAGCTGAGGGTCGGCGGGTGAAGCTGGTCGACACCGGTGACAAGTTCCGCTTCTTCAGCATGGTGCGTGACCTGATGCTGTGGATGGAGGACGTGATCCGGCTGATCGAGGCCCAAGAGAAGCCCAGGTAGGAGACCTTTTTAAGAAACTGCAACATTAGTGGACCCAAGAATCAGCTGTTCTTTCATGTAACAGTTTCATGAAAACATTGAACCTTAATGTGTCAGCTTCTGCTTTAGATTTTCTGCCCTGCAGCTTCTTAGTCATCTTTAAACCAAAGGTCCAACATTTCTTAAAGGAAAGCATGTCACCAAACAACTTCCTGTGATATTGGTGAATATCTAGATCAGTTGGGGCTCAGAGTTTCTGCTTCCACACCAAGCCTGATGTTGCTATAATTTACTGTTACAGCCATTTTTGGGTTTGCTAAGATCATCTAGCTGTGGTGGCCATTTTGACTTGAGTTGACTTTAAAAGTTAATTACTAGTAAAAGGTTCATTCAAATCCATTCTCTGACTGACATTATAAAACACATCGAAGGCCTAGAACTCTGTACAATCTCCAGATGTTGAGCTGAAATTTGATATGGTAGTAACTAAGGGTCATCCTCTACACATATTCTGAGCACTAATCTCGTGCTGCTGTTTAATATACCGTATTGTGTTGTATTATTAGTGTTTAGTGTATACAGTAGTCCCTCGTTTATCTCGGGTGTTAGGGACCACACACCCCCGTGATAAGTGAAAAACAGTGAAAAACGGATACAGTAGTCTCAAGTTCAAGTAAACGTTATTGTACCACATGAGATGGAACGAAATTATGTACACTAGTAGTATTTTATTTTAGTATTTACTGTAGTAATATTATATATATATATATATATATATATATATATATATATATATATA